CATGATATTGAAATGTGAAGGACGTGATACTGGGATGTGAAGGACGTGATACTTAAAACTGAAAGACGTTATACTGCAATGTGAAGGACGTTATGCTGGCATGTGAAGGGCGAGATACTTGAAAGGGAAGGACGTGTTACTGGAAAGTGAAAGAAATGATACTGCCATGTGAAGGACGTGAACCTGGAAAGTGAAGGACGTGATATTGAAATGTGAAGGACGTGATACTGGGATGTGAAGGACGTGATACTTAAAACTGAAAGACGTTATACTGCAATGTGAAGGACGTTATGCTGGCATCTGAAGGGCGAGATACTTGAAAGGGAAGGACCCGATACTGGCACGTGAATGACGTGATACTGGAAAGGGAAGGGCAAGATACTTGCAAGTGAAGGACGTGATACTGGCACGTGAAGGACATCATACTGGCAAGTGAAGGGCGTGATACTGGCAAGTGAATGACGTGATACTGGAAAGGGAAGGGCAAGATACTGGCAAGTGAAGGACATCATACTGGCACGTGAACGACGTGATACGGGAAAGTGAAGGACATCATACTGGCAAGTGAAGGACGTGATACTGGCAAGTGAAGGACATCATACTGGCAAGTGAAGGGCGTGATACTGGAATGTGAGGGACGAAACAGTGGCATGTGAAGGACGTGATACTGGAAGATGAAGGACGTGATCCTTGAATATGAAGGACGTGATACTGGAAAGTGAAGGACGTGATACTGGCATGTGAAGGACGTGAAACAGGAATGTGAAGGACGTGATTCTGGAATGTGAAGGACGTGATACTGGCATGTGAAAGACGTGATACTGGAAAGTGAAGGACGTTATACTAGAATGTGAAGGACTTTATGCTGGCATGTGAAGGGCGAGATGCTAGCATGTGAAGGACACGATACTGGCACGTGAAGGACGTGATACTGGCATGTGAAAGACGGTTTACTGGAAAGTGAAGGACGTGATACTGGAATGTGAAGCATGTGATACTGGAATGTGAAGGACATACTGGCATGTGAAGGACAAGATACTGGAATGTGAAGGACGTGATTCTGTAATGTCCTGCTGGCAAGTGAAGGACGTGGTGCTTTAAAGTGAATGACGAAACAGTGGCATGTGAAGGACGTGATACTGGAAGGTGAAGGACGTGATACTCGAATATGAAGGACGTGATACTGGAAAGTGAAAGACATGATCCTGTCATGTGAAGGACGTTATGCCGGCATGTGAAGGACGTGATACTGCCATGTATAGGACGTGATACTTGATTGTGAAGGAAGTGATTCGGTAATGTTTAGGACGTAATGCTTGCAAGTGAAGGACGTGATACTGGAATGTGAATGACGAAACAGTGGCATGTGAAGGACGTGATACTGGAAGGTGAAGGATGTGATCCTTGAATATGAAGGACGTGATACTGGAAATTGAAGGACGTGATACTGGCATGTGAAAGACGTGATACTGGTATGTGAAGGACGCGATACTGGAATGTGAAGGACGTGATTCTGTAATATCCTGATGGCAAGTGAAGGACGTGATGCTTTAAAGTGAATTACGAAACAGTGGCATGTGAAGGACGTGATACTGGAAGGTGAAGGACGTGATCCTTGAATATGAAGGACGTGATACTGGAAAGTGAAGGACATGATCCTGCCATTTGAAGGACGTTATGCCGGCATGTGAAGGACGTGATACTGTCATGTATAGGACGTGATACTGGATTGTGAAGGACGTGATTCTGTAATGTGAAGGACGTAATGCTTGCAAGTGAAGGACGTGATACTGGAATGTGAATGACGAAACAGTGGCATGTGAAGGACGTGATACTGGAAGGTGAAGGATGTGATACTGGCATGTGAAGGACGTGGTACTGGTATGGGAAGGATGCGATACTGGAATGTGAAGGACATGATTCTGTAATATCCTGCTGGCAAGTGAAGGACGCGATGCTTGAATGTGGATGACGAAACAGTGGCATATGAAGGACGTGATACTGGAATGTGAAGGACATGATCCTTGAATATGAAGGACGTGATACTGGAAAGTGAAGGACGTGATACTGGCATGTGAAGGACGTGAAACTGGAATGTGAAAGACGTGATTCTGTAATGTGAAGGACGTGATATTGGCATGTGAAGGACGTGATACTGCAAAAGTGAAGGACGTGAAAGTGGAATGTGAAGGACCCGATACTGGCACGTGAAGGAAGTGATACTGAAAAGGGAAGGGCGAGATACTGGAAAGTGAAGGACAAGATACTGACACGTGAAGGACGTGATACTGGGATGTGAAAGACGGTTTACTTGCATGTGAAGGACGTGATCCTGGAAAGTGAAGGACGTGATACTGGAAAGTGAAGGACGTGACACTGGCATGTGAAGGACGTGATACTGGTATGTGAAGGACGCGATACTGGAATGTGAAGGACGTGATTCTGTAATGTCCTGCTGGCAAGTGAAGGACGTGATACTTGAATGTGAATGACGAATCAGTGGTATGTGAAGGACGTGATACTGGAAGGTGAAGGACGTGATCCTTGACTATGAAGGACGTGATACTGGCATGTGAAGGACGTGATCCTTGAATATGAAGGACGTGATACTGGCATGTGAAGGACGTGATATTGGCATGTAAAGGACGTGATACTGCAAAAGTGAAGGACGCGAGAGTGGAATGTGAAGGACATGATACTGGCATGTGAAGGACGTGATATTGGAAAGTGACGGACGTAATACTGGAATGTGAAGGAGGTTATGCTGGCATGTGAAGGGCGAGATACTGGAAAGGGAAGGACCCGATACTGGCACGTGAAGGAAGTTATACTGAAAAGGGAAGGGCGAGATACTGGAAAGTAAAGGACACGATACTGACACGTGAAGGACGTGATACTTGCATGTGAAAGACGGTTTACTGGCATGTGAAGGACGTGATCCTGGAAAGTGAAGGACGTGATACTGGAAAGTGAAGGACGTGATACTGGCATGTGAAGGACGTGATACTGGTATGTGAAGGACGCGATACAGGAATGTGAAGGACGTGATTCTGTAATGTCCTGCTGGCATGTGAAGGATGTGATACTGGCATGTGAAGGACACGTTACTGGCATGTGAAGGACATGATACTGGAATGTGAAAGACACGATACTGGCATGTGAAGGATGTGATACTGGAAATTGAAGGACACGATACTGGCATGTGAAGGACGTGATAGTGGAAATTGAAGGACATGATACTAGATTGTGAAGGACGTGATACTGAAAAGTGAAGGACATGATACTGGAAAGTGAAGGACATGACACGGGAATCTGAAGGACTTGATACTGGTATATGAAGGATTTGAAACAGTTATGTGAAAGATATTATACTGGTACCGGTATGAAAAGGACGTGATACTTTTGATATCGTTTGTCTCTTTAAGGACATTACCTTTCTCCACCGAGGCTTCCACAAAACCGTTCGACATTGAGTAGTCTAGATCACGTATTTTGTGAACCCCTCTGGCCAATGTAAATTGGCACGGCTCCCATGGCCGAAAGCTGTGAACACATAATGCCCTTCAGAGAGTGGTCAAATGTAACACATGTCTAAATGGCATTGTGCGTTCATGTCCATAAGTGTTTTGTAATGTTATCATTTGTATTCAAAATATATGTCATCATCAAACCAGTCATCATTGTGACCATGTCGTCATCAAAAACATGCGCCATCAAACATATTCAGTTCTGTTTGGTTATCGGCTGCCATATTTTATGGATCATAAGTAGGCTATTGTTGTTTCCATACATCTTTTGTGAGAAAAAACTGAACTTAAAAGAGGTATCAATCGGAAAGGATACATCTTTTTAACCAGTCAGAATCAACGATTCTTCAATGTCAGGGTATAATTCAATTTTAACAGCAAGGCTACGCCGCTTTCTCACGTATCCCAAGATCCATTATACTTATTGGATTTTATACCATTATCGTCACTTTTTATAGTGAGTGAGTGAGTTATGATTTTACATCGCATCGGCAATATTGCAGCCATATCGCGATGAGAACAAGTTTATTATTATAAAAAAAAACTGTCGACAAAGGACAGTAAAACAGTAAGGTAATTATCACAGTGTAGACATAAAACTTACCTGAGCAATATTAAAACAAAGAAGTTTCCAGTGTATTAGTTATTAGAAAGTAAAACCAGGCTATAGACCACTGGTAACCAAAGCTAGACCACCTAACTGGGGATCATGGGGACTTACAGTACTTTTGCTTCCTGCATGATTCCCAGCAGGATTAATGTCATCACTTTGGTCACGAGTGGTTGTATGAAATATTAACCAATATTAAAAAATCAAAACACAATCAAGGAATTAAAACACTAGTTGATATTAATTACTTCAATATATATGGACTTATGTGCCACAGTCAGGGGGACAAGTCACTTTTTATAAAACCTTTAACTACAGTTACGGGGCTGCGTGTGGTTAAGTGACAAAAACCATCTCACTGTTAAAAATCATGTGTTTTAGTCGTATAAGGGTCCAGGATCTGAATGGACATTGATCCAAAATTCGCTGAGATTAATATCCTTGGTCTGCCAGTACCGGTTTAGTGGGTTTCACCAAAGTGGTAGACATTTCCAAATTTGGTCGTTTAGGCTTTCGTGTCGCACTAATAACATCACACAGTGGAATTATGAAATTGTTCAAAACGGCGTGAAACCAAACTCCCACATTCAGCATCCCGTATTGATTGGATTGAAATTGTGAAGAAAACAGCTCACGTGTAACTAATAAGTGTGACCATGGTGGAGACGAACCTAGAAGCCATCAGGTCGTATTGGGACTCTAACAAACGGCCTCAGCATTCTGGCACGCATAAGGGACGCAACTCCGCAGACGTTGTGACCACGTAACAATGTACTTGAGTTGGAGTTTCAGACATGGAATCCAGTTGTGCAGGACTGCACACTTATCTAGAAACTGAGAAAGAAAAGGAAAAACCAGCATACCTGATAGATGATCAGATTAGTGAACTTGGTCAATGTGGGCCCTCGGGAAAACAAACAAAGAAGCAGGTACTTCACGAACACGTCTTTCCAGTGTGGAATTGAACGACTCGACTACACACAAACTCTACACGACGCGGTAACCTTCGATAAGGATCGCATTAGATTGAAAACAGTTTTACACATGAACGAATGTCACACCATTCACACAAACATGCCACGCCCGCATAATTCATGTTGTTTTGTCCTCAAGCAGCCATTTACATTCACGTGAGTCAGTATCTTGAGGAAAATTGCGACCACGAGCTGCAATTTGCATACGTTTTCAGGGAAAAGACGTACCTTTACATTTAGCACAGCCATAGTCGATTGATGAATATCAGAACATTCATTTAGTGCTGCAATCTACATACAGTTTCGGTGAACAGAAGCAATAGAGAAATCATATGATCGACATCAGAAACATCAGATGAAATGGAGTTTAATGTCGCATTCAAGATTATTGCACTTGGATACCTTGTCGCAGATTGACATGGATACCCCATTCGGACACAGTATACTGACTCCGAGCCGGACAGTCCTTGTTTTTACCCTCCCCTTAATGCGAGAGCCAGACAGGGAATCAACAAGTCTTTTAACATATTTACCATGAATCGACTCCTGGCACCCCTCTCTCCGGGCAAACACTGTCCTGTAGGCCACTGAGATGGTCTTCCAACATGAGTGACAATTAAATTCCTTCATTTTTTCCAGTACTAATTCGTCTTATCGAGCGTTGTTGCAACTTGGTTCAGTGGGGGGATTTTTAATCAACAGTACCTGTTGTATTAATGCACATCCTGTTTTCTCAATACACGTTTTAATCCGGACGTTTAACATCACAGTCAAGGAGATTCGATGAATCTAAAATATTAGTTGTATGATGTTACGAAATGTAAATTGTCATAAATTTATTCGAATGTTGTTTGTAGCACAGGGACTAAACACATTTGCAATCATACAATTGGAAACATTGACAAAGATTCCGCTTTTGACTGCATTGTAATGTTGAAACATACGTCAAAGGACACTCCGATGTGTGTTGATTGGGTGATGTCGTAATCTAAACTTTTACTGATTTTAAATGTTTGTGGCCCAGTCGTCTAAGGCGTAGCGATTCTCTGTCCCTTGGGCATGCCAGAAACCTATGATTGTAGGTTCGAATCCCGGTTCGCCCCGATTATGTTTCTAGGTTTGTCAGCACCATACCCGTGCTCGTGGGTTTCACCGAAGTGGTAAACGACTGAGACCTGCATCACTTCGGGCTTTCCTCCCACATTAAGCTGACACGCCGTGATATAACTGGAATACTGTTAAAACCCAACTCAGTGTGTCTATGTGTCTCCTGTCTCGCGTACAAGTGACCACCTGAGAGTGTGTGTCTATGTGTCTCCTGTCTCGCGTACAAGTGACCACCTGAGAGTGTGTGTCTATGTGTCTCCTGTCTCGCGTACAAGTGACCACCTGAGAGGGTGTGTCTATGTGTCTCTTGTCTCGCGTACAAGTGACCACCTGAGAGAGTGTGTCTATGTGTCTCCTGTCTCGCGTACAAGTGACTACCTCTGAGGGTGTGTCTATGTGTCTCCTCTCCTGTCTAGTGTACAAGTGACCACCTGAGAGGGTGTGTCTATGTGTCTCCTGTCTTGCGTACAAGTGACCACCTGAGGGTGTGTGTCTATGTGTCTCCTGTCTCGCGTACAAGTGACCACCACCTGAGAGGGTGTGTCTATGTGTCTCCTGTCTCGCGTACAAGTGACCACCTGAGAGGGTGTGTCTATGTGTCTCCTGTCTCGCGTACAAGTGACCATCTGAGAGGGTGTGTCTATGTGTCTCTTGTCTCGCGTACAAGTGACCACCTTTTGAAAACGTTTTCTTCATGTGATTTTGTCTGGTTCCAGAAACGTTTTAAAACATTTCTGTGAACATTTGATTATATCGTTTCTAAAATGTTTCTGTAAATTAATCCAAAATACTTTTGGAAACGTTTTATTCAGGTGAATTGGTATGGTTCCGGAAACGGTAAGGAACGTTTTCTGTGAACATTTGGTTATAACGTTTCCAAAATGTTTTGAAAACGAACCAGAGTGTTGGTAAAGCTCAGTGTTTTGCTGCCAATGTTCAAAACGTACAACGCCCAGTCACTGTTAACAAGATACAAATAGTCAGGGACAGTACACCCTTCAGGCATGTACTGCAGGAAACACAATACCTATGACAGACATGGTAATCCATGCCATGTCTTCACCATTCAATCAACAAAAATCTTCATGTCTCAGTTCTATGGAGATTTTAATATTTTTAGAAAACTTTTACAACTTTCTAAATTATTGATTGTCAGAATCTTCTTTCTTTGGTTTTGCCTTGATCCACTTTTCAGAAACATAAAACAAATTCTGAAAAAAATCTAAAGCAGGTATTTCATATATATATATATATAACAGTATCATGAATCACATTGAATACAAAAAGTGGTACACCAGGAACACCCCAACCGACTTTACGGAGCTAAGATGCAAATCCAATTCTTAGCATTAATTTAAAGCCACAAAACCACCAAAAGTTGCTTGATCAAGTAACTCATGGTATTTAACATCAGTTTCTGCACTTACGTTTGCATCATTCACAGCCCCTGGTGTATTTGGTGTACTCTTCAATATACCTAACATTTCCGTGTGTATTTCCTGGAATGCTGTTGTCTCCTTTTTTCCCTGGCTGCAGCGAAAACAAAAATGTTCCACATTATAACAAAGTTATAACTTGAACTATATTCAATAAGCATTATATTGTTAATCCAAAGATGAAATATATTATGTAGGTTCATAACATTATTTTAATTCTGGAAACCAATTTGTCCAGAAACGCTCCATGCTAAGGCCAGTTTCGGTCAAACATAATTCTAAAATTCATCCTCGCTGATTTCATTGGGACCATCCGTGGTCCACGCTAAGGAAGAAAAATTGTTTCGAAATTTGAACTATGTTGCCTATGGGCAGGCTGACATGGCCTATGAATACTAAAGTGCCCGCTTGCAAACGTCCTTTGTGAATGTTTTGAAGGTCTTCGTCGATGATATGAATTTAATTACGAGTTTCCGGTTGGCGTATAATCACATTCTCTTCTTTAGTCCCGTCACATGTGGGTGTGCGTGGGTGTGCGTGTGGGTGACAGGTGTAGTTGGTAAGTCATAAAGATGGTCTGTACAGTATTCAAATATCAAGTGGAGTGCAAGTCCGTGCGCAGCTACATGTATGTGCATGGTTGTTTATGCACTGTGAACTTCATTTTAATGCCACATTTAAAATGCGACTATTACTAACAATAGATTGCAACGACAGATCATGTTTGAAAAGAACTTGGTATCAAACAAACCGTGACATTAACATAACGAGGCCGTGAGAAACACCTGGTTGTATTCGCCAACTTAATTACAACAGTGTCCCTCTGTATTTCTACACAATATGAAATGCCACAGGCTGACCTCTGGAATACACATTACGCTCTGCATTCAACACGGGTAAAAGTCATTCATTGCTGATGTGAATTTGATGATTGTTCAAGTACATAAGGGAATATAATTTCCGCATATGCACATTGAAGTTTTCACTTCGATCTTTGCGTATTGTGTTGGTTTGTGTCTGGTGCAGTTGTAAGGCTTTCAGGAATGTTACTGTCTAACCCCCTCAGCCACCGAGGCTTCCTCAAAAATGAAAATCCAACAACTGGTAGTGTAGGGGCGCCTTGTAAGCCACGAATCGCTTAGAGAAAGCAAATTTATCGCATGCGCACTCTTCCAAAATGGCGGCGCAACTAGCGCTTGGTTGCCTTGACGTAGAAGAACGTAATAAAAGAGGCTCGATGACGAGCTGATGAAATATATGACTACTTTGAAGATGTGGAGAAGACTGAGGATGATGGAGTGTTAGCTACCTTTGCTCATTTCCTCGTTGATCCAGTCAAGAATTTCTTGTTCAGCTGTCAAAGTCAGCCGCCATTTTGGTTTGAGAACGAAGCGACCTCAGCCAGCGATTGTTTCGCTTGCAAGCGGCTGAAAGTTAGCGCACTGTTGTAAGGCGAATCGCTGTACATCGATTGCAAGCGATTCGCGCTTTGCAAAGCACCCCGCACGTACTTTGTGTACCCCTCTAACAAGTGTAAATTGGCACGGCTCCCATTACCGAAAGCTTTGAATACACAATGCCATTTAGAAAGTGGTCAAATGCCATTTAGATACTGTTTAGATAAGCGGATACTGCTTTTGAAACTGAACTTACCCCCTAAGAAATCAGAGTTCAATGATCCAGCTCTTGCTGCACTATGTCACTTGGATGTAGATTAAACTTGAACTGATGATGGCGGATGCACAATATGACGTAATAGTGTGACGTCATTCCAACGTCATTTCACGAGACAACAAGGCATTTTGTCACATCTTAAAATTGTTTTCAAAAGGTTTGTGTGATATCAGTTTTTACAAACGTTTTAAGAACATGTCAAAAACATTTATTTTTGTGATAAATTTTCAAAAACGTTTTAAAACATTTTAATAACTTGTCATGAAAAATAGTTCAATGCGAGAGAATGCGTCTTTGACCATAGATCTATATTTATTCACTTCTCAACGGTCTCTCTCTCTCAAATGTAATTGCCTGTGACACTATCTGTGATCAGCAACAAACAAATCATGTGAAGTTTTGTCTTACTCATATCTGCTATATTTTCTGCTAGACATTTAGCCTACAGATTAAACTGTAACTGTTGTGAAAATGTTCGATTACTGCATTATCAATCCACAGCCACGTAATCGGTACTCACTTTAATACATGGCGATAACATTTCATGAAAATATGTTCTAGCATAACATTTCTGCAATGTGTTGAAAACATTGCAATAACATGATGTTCTTGAATAACATTTGTGAAAACATTTCAATAACATTTTGAAGAGATGTAAAATATTTATAAAACGTTAAACAAATGTTTTGACGAAAATGTTTTTTGAAAAACTACAATGAAACCTCTTTGAAAATGTTATGTGTCAGCTGGGAGTGTTCAAAAATGCGTAAAACAAATATTGCCTCAAGTTTATTTACGCTGT